TAGATAGATAGATAGATAGATAGATAGATAGATAGATAGATAGATAATGATAGATAGATACTATTGCCCATTAGCATTCTTTTGCCAACTGTGAATAATCATACAGATTCCTATAAATTTCAAATAAGGTTCTCACCTGTAAATATTGTTATCAATCATCACAAAAAATAGACATGAGTGCAATGTGCTATATTCTTAATAATTTGATGCACAAGTTGAGCTTTAATACATTGAAATGAGCATTGTGTCACAAAGAAATACAGGCATTCATTGTGAATCTTGAGGATGAAACCATAACTGGGCTGCCAAGGTTTGAAACTGTGTGAATTAAATGGAAAGACTGCCAGTTTACATAATTACAGTTACAGAAATATGGAGAGTGTGACTATGTAGTCAAGGGGTTTAATCACTGTGTTTAAAAAGAAATAGTTGCTTCTGTTCATAATTTTGTCACATGCACACATTTCCATGGCAAAGGGCCAAATGCATTTAAGCAATTCAAGGAGGACAAGAAGGGTTGATGGCCTCTAATGAGCAACTGATCACCAGTAAACACAGAGATATTAAAACCCAGATTAAACTTTGTTCAGAACGGGAGGGCCATTTCCATTTGCTGCAGCTCTTCAAGCTTATTAATGAAGTAAGGAGCAAGAAGGGGAAACAATTCTGATTTTATCATTCTATTTGAAGATAGTGAGCCCCAAGTTGTGAAGAATAACATAAATCTTGGTTGAAAAAAGTATGTGTGTGCAGAAATAAACTTAGAGTGTCAAGCCATTCACTTAAACCATGACCTGGGTCTTTGGTCTTAAAGCTACTAAAATGATTGGGGGGGAATGGATTAAGAAATGTATTGTACTATATTATTATCTCAAAGACTGATTATTATGCAGAAGTGTGTTCCAATTTCAATTTTAAAGACTACTAATTTGTTCTCAACAGCTGTAATTTGAGATCCCACAGGATGACATATAAGGATACACAGGAAACTTTGGTAGGCTATTGTTGGTTTGGTGACTTGACTCACCAAGGCTACTTGGCTGAGATTTCCACTGTCTGAAACTATAATAAGATGGCAGCCACAGTGTAATTCATCACAGCTGGGATCTCATAATACACGGAGCCCAGTAAGGACCTGAAAATATACTAGAGAGATCATAGGATATATCTTCTAAATATGTTTCACCTTGGTTGGAATTTTATGCAGCAAAATAGAGAAGAGTTAGAAGAGCATTTGACAATGAGGAGGTGGCATTAGTTATGTAGTAATAACATCCTGTGCTGGCTTCCTGACGCCCCCTCAGGCCTCACTAGCACACAGCATGCTGAAGGTGTGTGAGGTCTACATCGCATCTGCCTGTGTATTATAATTCACCGAACTTAAGCGAATGTCTGTTGAGCTCCTATCATAGCCAGACGTGGTAGTGGGCATACAAAGATGATAGCTGTAATAGAAACAGCACATGTTATTTCAACTAGTCAATTGTCATCTTTATAGTAATTAATTTTTAAAATCTTTTCATTCTAGTTCTTTACCTATGGCTTACTAAGATACTATCTTGCTTTTTTGGATATAAATGTACACACTGTCAGTGAATTTGTATTGAAAACAGTAGTCAAGAACAAAAAATTCTGATGCCTGTTAATACTCAAATAGCATTTAAGGGAAAGTTTATCTGTCACGTAAAAAATTTGGGCTTATATTTTCTCTTTATACTTCTCAATTTTAAATTGCCTTGTTGTCGCTTTTATCTAAATCTATAATTTGTAACTATTTGTGGGGTATGATCATGTTCCCCCTTGAGAATCTCTTACAATACAACTTCTCACCAGAAAAATGCATACACTCATTTATATAAACACAATAAGTGACATGTATTTTCTGAGGATTGATCAGGTTGAGAAATGCTACATTAAATTCTGTGAATCAGAATGCAGACATTTATGAAGACAAGACCTGTGAAACTACAACTCATTTTGGAAACTAAGAGATGATCTTTCAAGGAATTATGCTTTAGATTAAAATTTTGTTTCCTATCTAAATTACTGATAAATTGATATTCTGCCATAAATATGTGGTGGCAGTTTGCCCCTGTGATGGAAAATCAGTCATTAGCCAGGCCTCTGATAAAGTTAGCATGCATTCAGGTCAGAATGGTAAGGCTCCCCTAAGCACGACCGTGCGTGAAAATGACCCGTGATGTGCGTGTCTGCATACATGGGGTGCAACTCTTCTAAGGCTCTGGCTGCTTTTATAACAGACAGTCCTCCGACATCTTTTTAAACGTAATTGAGTCCCCTCATCTTTCCCTGCCTCTGGGGCTCAGAGGCTCTTCAAAGAGTTGATGCCGTTAGTTTGGCCTTGGAACATTTCCAGAGCTGAACAGGTGATGCCATAAACATCCCCCAGCGCTGCCTTTTGCAGTGAGCAAGTGGTTCCCCAAGGTGGACCCTTCTGGATGTAAACTGATTTTAATGATTTCTTTCTTTCTCCTGGGAAGGATTTGTGTGGGCATCATTCATGCGACACCCTGGGAATGGCAGACGTTGGGACCATATGTTCCCCGGAGCGCAGCTGCGCTGTGATTGAAGACGATGGCCTCCACGCAGCCTTCACTGTGGCTCACGAAATTGGTATGCAGTGCTTTTCTCTTCCCTCGCCAAATCAAACACTTGTAACAGCTGCAACAGGAACCAAAATACTTGGCAATGAATTCCAGATTTCTCCTGGTTCAGATGCACCCGTGGGGATTCAATTTGTTTAAACTTGCACTTCTAGGGTTAACTAGTAAGGCAGAGGGAAGGCAGAGTCAGGCACACGGTAGATGTTTCCTGTCTGACAGTGTTATTTAAAATCATAAGAGAAATTTGCTACCACTACTGTCTTTTAAGCATCCTCAAATGACTCTTAGAGGCAATTTGTCACAGTTGACTATGGAATGCAGAGATGTTCCTCTTAGGAGTTACTCAAGGCTCTATTGACTCATCCAGGGCTAAGCGGTTTGCACACAGATTTATCATGTTTTCTTCCATTGTGACTGACTGATAATAATAGCCTGGGCCTGTCAAAGGTAATCAATAGCTATGGTAAACATGCCTGTCTTGTTTTCAATAGCAAAGCCAAGCTCAACAGTCAACAGGGTGTGTTTTAAAATGTCACTTAACTGTTGTGTTTGTCATAAGAAACACATGTAAATCCTAGAACTAGAAGTTTAGGACTAATCGTAAAATATCCCAGTAGTTAGAAATATGTGTTTCCTAACAATGGCCTGGGCTACTAGGTATATGAGAGGTTAGTTTAGAATTTACGATTAGATGTTAGAATTAGACACCTCTGGACTCAGTTCTTGCTAAAGTACTTTCTACCTGTGCCACATTGGTCTTAATATTTAAACTCTCTAAGCTTCAGCTTTTATATCTGGGATATAGGAATAATAGCACCTATTCATGGAGTTATTTTCAGGACCAAATTGGGTAGATTGTAGATGCCATCTGTTACTGATATCCACGTAGACATCTGTTTTGCTTTTTAGTTAAGTAGTTCATTTACATTTTTAAATAGCTGTATCACCTTTTAGCATCACCTTTTGGAACGGCAAAGCATGGCTTGATAATTATTGTAATTTTTGGTGTATTTTATTAAACAGATTTATTTTTTTAAGCTTTAAAACCCTAAGTTTGAAACAGAAATAAAAACTTTTTTTCCACGTTCCTAGTAGACAGAGAGTGTTCCACAAGGTGTTGATTTCTAGCTGCTTTGGGAAGTTAAAATATCTTCCAATCAGAGGTATAATTGCATAAGTACAGAGATCATTACTTAAATTTCAATTCTTATGTATTAATTATGACTTTAATTTTCTTAACTGACACTCTTCTTATCATCTAAGCAAAAAAAGAAACAAACCTAAAAGATTTGTTACATAACTAACCATTCAGAGGCCCCACTGATAATAATATAACATTTTATGAATCGAGCATCTTTATAGACATTTTTTAAATGTCTTTATTGATTACAGAGAGAGGAAGGGAGAGGGAGAGAGAGAGATAGAAACATCAATGATGAGAGAGCCACTGATCCACTGCCTCTTGCACACCCCCTCCTGGGGATCCAGCACTGACAGGGAAGGGAACCTCGATCTCCTGGATCATAGGTCGATGCTCAACCGCTAAGCCACGCCGGCAGGGCATGCATTGAGCATCTTTTGATTAAGGAGCCAAAGATCTGAGATGAAATACCAGTTCTGTCTTCTATTCTGTGTTTTATGTCCGGCCAGTCTTTACACAGCCTGAGAATCCATGGCTCTCTGATGTGCTGGGCTGGAAGAGCTGAAAGGATTTTTAAGACCCATATGCCATTTGCGCTTCAGGGATGGGATTATGTCTTCACCTATCACTCACTCATGCCTATTAAAGTAACTGATTAAACCTATAGCCTCACCCTGGCCAGGTGGCTCAGTTGGTCTGTGACCAGAAGGTTGAGGGTTCAATCCTCAGTCGGGACACACCCAGGAGGCAACCGATCAATGTTCTCTCTCATATAGATGTTTCTCTCTCTCTCTCTCCCTCTCTCTTTCCTTCCTTCCCTCCCTCCCATCCTCTCTCCAAAATCAATGAAAATATCTCCTCGGGTGAGGATTGAAAAATACCCACAAAACTACAGCCTCATATAGATCCTTCCTCAATATTTATTACATGTCTCTGTGCTCATGAGTGAGTAAGCAGGAGAAACGTGAGAGCTGCCCAAGAACTGGCAACCTTCCAATTCTGCATCAGAACCTCAGAGAGATTAGTCCAACTACTCAAGAAGATTGTAATTAAACAGAAGATTTTAAAAGCACACCAGTAATTAATCCCCACAATTCAGAGTGAGAGAAGTCCCATAAGAAAGATTCTAAGTTCCTGGGAAGGCAGAGGCTGGATCGTCTCCATCCGGGTAGAGGGGTGGTGAGAAATACGAGCAGAGTTGAATTGTGACATCGCCCATTGATAAGATTCTGAGCCAGGTCCTGACCTTCCAAAGAAGAGATCGTAAATTCCTTGAAGGAAGGGCTGCTTCTTCCTGCAGCCCTGTAGTGGTCCCTTCTTGCACTTTGACAGCAATTGGGAGACTTCCCTGTAAGAGAACCCCAGGGCAGCAAATGCGTCTTCTTTGGGGGTGCATTGCCTCTCAAGCCAACTGGGCTGGAATGAGAAGCCCCAGCATCACCTCTCCCAGGCCTCCTGAATCCCGAACCAAGGGTCTTGGGTGAGACAGATGCGGCAGCCTGAGAGGCAAGAAGCCAGAGACCGAGGAGAGCAAATGTTTTATTAAAATGAAATACGTGCAATGCAAACTTGTCTTAACAGTTCAAGAATATTGGGCATAGTTGTACAAGACGACAGTGTGGGAGGAATGTGGGCTTCTATGTGCAAAATCAAACCTGAATCGTTGACGTATGACTACAGCCTTGAGGCCCCTTTAATTTCTTGGTTGAATCATCTCTATTTACTTCTTTAGACTTTTCTATAATTCATGCTCCAATCAAACTCTGCTTACTTAATTTCTCCCATTGTTTTGCATTACATATGGCTCTGTCTGAGACATTTAAGGTCTGGGCATAGGGGAATACAGATTTAATTTCCCTTTCATAAAGGGATCTGGCTTTCATTCATTTTCTAATTGCTTTATTATTCTTTAATTTCACTTTTTGCCTAAAAATTGTAAACACGTGTTATAAAGTACAAGCCTTACGAAATTTAGGGAAGATAACCTTACAAGATATTTCCTAATCATCTGTATGTGATTACAGTCTGGCCCCTGCAGCCAGTGTGTCCTTGGGGACTGCTGCTCCTGGGTCTGATTCCAGTGCTTTATTTTTAGGTTGTTGCGTGAAGCCACGTAACCAGCTCTCCGTGCTCTGGATTCTAATTCTGCTCCATCCTTCTCATGTAATTTCCTCCCTTCCCTTTTATTAGACATGTACTACTTTCCAGATTCAGAGGTTAGGGATACACGCTACAGATGGTGATGAAAGTGACCTTGTGAAACTTCGGTTTTGCTGGAGTGTTTCGAATTGGCTTGAGCCCATTTCAAAATGTGCAGTTTGCTTCATGCACACGGACTGTCAATATGTTACTGTGCTCAAAACATAAGCTGTGGAGAGAATTCCCAGGCCGTTTCCATAGTTTTTCTTCTTTATTTCTTCTCTAAGCCGTAAAGGATAGATTCGGTTAAGATTACACCTTCATTAACTGACTTAAAATGTTTCGTAGAGTTCCCCCGCTGCGTCCTTTTTGTACACAGTGGTTTAAAATACAAAATCGATGTAGTTGAATCAAAATGTTCTCTGTTCTTTTACCTCCCCCACCTGAAAAAGTTTTGTATTGAGAATTAGCAGGTTAAATAAAGAGAGAGCAGCCTGAAGACCCTTCTGGCACCTTTCCTCTGCGTGGTGTTAAAGGCGGAGTGAAGTGGGCCAGGGAACAATCGGGAAAGTGGCTGTTCTCAGGCCCGCATGTTAACCGGAACACTTCTCTTTTCCTCCTAATTCTCCCTAAGAGCTAGACTGGGCCGGTACACACTCCACCAATGTCCACACTGGCTTCTGGAAAGTAGATTTGATGGCCTTAGCCTTCCTCGCCTGCCTCCTTCTGTGCCATGTGCATGTTGACACTGACTCAGTCGCGAGGACACTTAGGAGAGTTGCCTTAACCTAGAACATCAAGGACACAGTCCCCACCCCTGATCCTTGAGCGGAGGCAAGACCGTGGCTAGAGCCATTTTACAATCCAAACGTGAACTATAGGAAGTTTCCAGTGAATGTAAGTTTATATTTTTAACTTGTCAAGCGTTTATTGTCGGCTTGTAACAGTAAAGATTTCACCTGCTGCACACATGGTTCTTCAAAGTAATAACCGCATTGATGTCGGGCCAGCTTCTAATACAGCGCGGGCGGCAATCTGATTTTATTTAGACTGATGAAGTCCATGATTGGCAAACTTGCCAAAGCTTTGCTTTATGGTAGTTAATTATAAAATGTGCTAAGTGACTCTCTTCACCACGAAAGAGTCCAAAATGCTTCCTAAGCTGAAAGCAGGCAACTGAAAAAGCTGAAGCCAAATGTTTGGCGGGAGACTTAGGAAGCGGTCGAGACACAGCAGCGTGGCCGCCTGTGTTCTGCTGCGGTTAGAGCGAGTTCTCTGGTTGTGCTGATCTGCGTGCGACGGGGCTCCCATAGATGATTAGATTAAATAAGGCCGTGTTTTGAAAAGCTGCAGAGGCCCTGCAAACACCATAGACCAAAGCCAAGTGCACGGAATCAGATGTCAGGACTGGCTGCGAGATGTGAAGGGAAAGGAAACTAAGATTAAACTTGGTATTTCTCCCCAAACCCATAGCCTTAATCAAAAGAACTGAGCATTTTTTTCTATCCAGCCTGGAGCACTGCCACACTGTGTCTTTCTTGGCCCCCAGATGAAAGGTGGGAAAAAGTCTCTGCTGCGTGTCTAGCAGCATTGAGAGATTTAGTGTCTAGTGTCAGTTGTTTGTTTGTTTCATCAAATCCCAATTCATATTTCTTTAGGGGAGGCCTATAGATTGTCTGCCGTACGTGGAAATCCAACCAGTAAAGGTAGCCTAAAAAGTAAATATATCA